TTCAAATATAGCTTCTACATGGTGCGTAAAGAAATAAGTTTATACACCAATAATTAAATCTTTTTTCTTAAATTAGCTACGAAATTTATTACACGAAAAGAATATTTGTTTGCACTAGAGCTTTCGTGGCAAAGACTCGAGATTATATAGAAATGCTTACAATAATTTTGTATTTCCGAAATTAAATCTATTAAGCTAATGCCGATTACTCCCCCCATTTAAATCCATAGCTTTTCGCATTTTCATCCCACATCACAGGCCGTGTCGGGCAACGACCATTATCGCTTTCTATCATGCGAAGCAATAGTAACAACCTTGCAAAGTTGTCAAACGGTGTTTTCCATTTAATACTATTAATAGCTTTTTATTATGCTGTTTCAAAGTGGCATAACCATACTTTATCATGGCGAACTGTATGACTACAGTAAAAAATTTAATCGAGAACTTATGCTTCTCATATTGCAACAGGAGTCTTATTGCTCTTCTCCAAATGCAATAAGCAAGAATGCTGTATTTACTCTGAAGCAGGATGCCAAAATGAAAAGTTGTAGTATCGAGTTATACCTCAATTGAAACTCCTACTTTTATTGCATTTAATTTCCATAATAGGAGTAACATTGTCGCCGCATATACTCAATTACTTAAACACTTAGTTTGTCTCCTCTACTCGTCGTGCAGGCCAGAGCATTGTTTCCACCAGTTTCTGTCTCTCGTGAGCGTCATCCACGATGTATGGTATTGAACTGCAGCGGCGACGTTCACGAGGTCCAAATTCATTACTCGTTACCAGCTGAGGGTTAGCTGGTCCATCAAGACGAGGCATTGCTCTAATATCTGAACTACAGAGTCCGACAGATGTTGAGCGCGTCGGTTGTACTTCAGAAGATGTCGTTCCAGAGTTCTGCGGATCGTTCGAAGAGCCGTGTAGCCACAATGTCGGGCCACGTCGCTGCTGCGTAATAGAGCGCAGGGAGAATCATTGAATCGAACAGGTGGGCTCGGAGCTCTGGGCCCATTAGTTGGTCTGTGGCTTCTTTTAGGGGCCCGGCGGCCCAAGCTGCTGTTTGCCTCTTGTTTAGTTCTTTCAGATCGTTCTCCATCCCCACCGAACGTCTGAGATTTGCGTAAGAAGACGCTTCCGGCCTGGAGAGATTGGAGAGCCTTCTAATTCCATTCCCTGGTCCTTGCAGAAAGTGTTCTTCATAAACTAAGTCTTCCTCCAAATGATTCGCGGTCCTATCCTCTTCTCTACTTCGTTTACTTCTTTCAGCTCGTCTCCTCTTTCCGTTAAGGTTTAAAAAATTGAAACATCATAAAAGAAGGAAAACGAGAAGTCGGACCAAACTCTCTTGCGTATCCTAACTCTGTGCTTCCAAATTAATCATCTAATTTTGGTCTTACTCAACAAAAATTGGTTTCGCACTTACGACTGTTATAATTTTCCGTAAGTGAACAACATCAAATCTGCAAAGTTGTCAAACGTTTG